TGCGGAATTAAAATCTCAAACCCGATAGTACCTGACCCGGTCGAAGTTCATTTTACTATTATTATGCTACACTGTTTTCTTGGATAATTTCAATTTAAGACCAATGTGCTCTATCTAGGACTTTATGATATTAGAATTATAATCCAACATTTACCATTTTGATAAAGTGATTATTATATATTTATGTTTCCTTCTAAATGAACTTCCTTTATGAAAGGATGTTTTAATACTACGGAATATTACCTAATGTTTTTGCTTATAAAAGATACTAGTACTTGTATTTGTTTGTGTGTTTTGGAAACAAGTTAACCGAGTTTTAAATTAGTTACATTAATTTCCCACATGAAAGATGCAACCCGAAGTGATTTTTTTCCCAATACCCGACCCTACCCGACCCGTTCATGCATGGTTTACCAGCTTATTTTGCGTACCGCGGGTTGATTAATAGCCAACCTGAACAAATTGAGTAGCCCCAAAAAATATAGCAAACCTGACTCAACCCGCCTGATGTGCATCCCTAAATAAGAGTGTAGCCGGTTATAGGTGGATTTATAAGATTACCGTTATGACGGTTTAGTATAGCACTATAAAGCTCTTCTCATGGCCGAGTGATTTAATTAGTAAGTTGAAATATATTTTTCGATACATTCAGTCTAATTGTTAAACACACCACTGTTTGTTTGATTTTGACTATAGTCGTTTTGGTGTGGCTGAAATATTAGGTAGTTCAAATAAGTTCGATGTTAAAATGTCTTTTTGTTGAAAGGAAATAACTTATATTAAAATCAAAAGATGATCCAGAACAACAATTATACCCCAAGACCTAAATCTCCCTCTATCCAATTTCACGTAGTGGAATTCTATTGCTTCAGTTAGTGGAATTCTATTGCTTCCATCCCTCCTGGATTTTCCTGCCCATACTTCAATTGCATGACAGGCGGGCATTGAAGCTCCCCCCATTTTTTGATGTCATAAGCTATATCTCCATATCCCTATGCAAAGACCCTTTCTCCCCTTGATCGACTCGTCTACGTTTTTGTTCAACCTTTTCTCTCACAGAGTGCTGATCTTGCCCCTGTTTTAGACCTCCTTCATCATCCAAATCTGGCTTTAACGCACTGTCCTCATCTTCCTTGCCTTTCTCCTTGCTAACTGGGACAATCATTTGTCCCCCCTATTGGTGCGCGTCCCTGTGTAGCTCTGAATTCAGGACCAAAAGGTAACCCACCCTTCTTCCTCGTGCCAATGGGGTAGTGCGGACAATACCTTTTTGCATGACCAATAATCCCGCAAGCAAAACAGAAACTAGTATAGACAATTTTTCATATCTAAATTTGACACAAAAATTGTCCCATTCATCCATTTGCTAAAAAAAGTTTTCGTTTAAGAGGCCTGGTCAAATCAATGCTAAAAATTCTTATTCTCATAAATGGGTTCCACTTGACAAAAAATTGTAATCATCCACCTTAATTAATAAACCTCCCCACAAAGTTATCAATTTTTATGGCATTTTTCATAGAAAAATATCCAACCAGAACGTTATGAATCTGCAACAAGAAATCAGCCCTTTTCAAAGGCACCTCCATAGGCAAGTCCACTTGCCTGAGCTTATCTAGAATAATAAGATTTCGGTCGAAAGTCCACGGACCTTCCTCCAGAACCCGTACCATATCACTTTCATTGTAAAATTGAAACATATACCTCCTGGCCCTGCCTAATTTTGCAATAGTGATACCTCTACTAGGTTTTCAAACATTTGCCATCGTATCACGAAAAATAAAAAAATCTACCAACTTTTCAAATGTAATTGTCTCTACTAGGGACAAGCTCAATTATTCAACCCCGCGATTTGTGGCCTCCACTTGTAAAAACTCACCCCCTCCTCCATCTCCATTCAACCGTACGCACTAGCCATCCTTTCAAGCTCTCCATGTTCAATGTTGTGCGCCATCGTCTTTACCCTTTCGCTTTGGCCTACTGTTCACCAACACAAGAATCCCACTGCTACGTCCGCATGCGTAGCCTCCAAAGACCGCCTCTCTGCTTTGACCGCCATCACCTTCCTGCTCAAGAAGATCAGCGTTGTTGGACCCCTAGCAAAACGATCCGCCTTCCTTGCCAACGAAGGATTTCATCGATCCCAAAAGAAACCTCGCAAAACCTAGGGAACAAGGTGCCAGCCGTTCCGCATTTTAAAATGTCTCTAAATTGCTATCTATTGAAGATGTGTATATGTAATATACTTCATCCGTTCCATTGAAAGGTTCTTAATTACTTTCCTTATTTGGGTGTACCATTTCCTTATTCTTTTTAATTACACTTTTAATCAAATTTCTCTTTCTTTTTTCTTTTACCCAAATTACTTTATTTAACTACTCATCTAAAATATCGTGTCATTTATTCACGAGAATCTTCTAACAGGTAGAGTATGTGTCAACCACTCGAGGTTGTTGATCATAGCTTTACTAATTACACAAGTCGACTTTGTGAGGTTGTTTATGTTTTTATCAAGCAAAGTAGCAAACACTTCTTTCCTAATATAATCATCTCTGTAGCTTTATGTTTTTAGCTTAAGTTTCTATGCAATAAGTCTCACCCTATCATATTTATTACTAGGTTTTTTTTTACAGTAATTTAAAGTTTTTGGGGCAAGTAAAACTGCAAAATGGCAAAGTTATACGAAATAGTTATTCCGTCCCGTTAAAATCTTCTCACCTTTCATTTTCAATTCATCTCACTAAGATCGTCGCATATGTAATTTGATCAAGTTTGTGTGATTTTAAATTACTTTTCCTTATTAATTCAATACCAGCCGCATAAAATCATATTTTTAATAACCGTGTGATTCGTGTCACTTTCTAATGTCCCGATGGCAATAGAACGCCGGTAGTAAACATATCGGGAATGTCATTTTGGCCTCGTACTATCACGAAAAAGTCAATTATGTCATCATACTTTAAAAACAATCAATTAAATCCTCGAACTTTTAGAAAATGTTCAATTGAATGAATTAACATGTTACCTGTCATCATCACCACTGACATGGAGGACGCGTGCGCGGTCCATGTGTGCGCCACATCATTAGTAAATGACTGACTAGGCTCCCGCGTGTCTGCCACATTAGCAAGTTAATGTTATCGCTGACTGGGTTGCCACATGTGTGCCACGTTGTTGACGTGGCGGGTAACCTGTCAGTAGACTCCATCAAATATGTTTCCAAAATTTGAGGATTTGATTCATTTTATTAAAAGTACGAGAATTTAATTGACTTTGTCGTGACAATATGAGGATTAAATTGACAATTTTCCTGTTTTTATCGGATGAAACACGGTTTACGATCTTATTGGTCGAACGGTAAAAAGCAGTAAAATTAAGAAGTTGTTCTCTTCACCTGATCTGAATGTTTCTGATCTGAATTTTTTAAGTTCTGACCTGATCTGAATGTTTCTGATCTGATCTGATCTGAATCTTTCTGATCTGGTCTGATCTGATCTGAATGTCCCTGATCTGATCTGAATGTTCCTGATCTGATCTGAATGTTCCTGATCTGATCTGAATGTCCCTCAATTGAAGCCTTCCGCTTCCAGATCGGACGAAGCCTTGCTGAAGATCAGATGAAGCTTTCTCTTCATCTCGTAGATTGTCGTTTTCCTCTCCCGGATCTGACGAAGCTTCTCCACTGCACTCCATTGTTCCTAAATCTGACGAAGGTCACGAAGCTCATCGCAGATCGACGTTTTCCATATCCGTCACGGTCCCCTTCTCCTTTCTTCTACGGTTGGGTCTGGGGGGTGTGGGGGCGCTGCGTTGGGTGACGGCCTGATTGGGGTCGCGATGCAGGAGGCTGGTAAGGTGGGGAGGGGGCTGGGAGTGGTGCAGCAACGCCACGACGGTGGTGCGGTGACTTGGCAGTGGAGGTAACGGTGGTTTGGGGTGGCCCGTGGCCATTGGCCGGTGGGCAGTGGCGGTGGTGCGGGGTGGTCGATGGGCAGTTGCGGTGGTGCGAGGCTGGGTAGTGGTGACAATGACGGTGGTGGTGGGGGTGGGATATTGGCGGTAGTGCAGGGTTTGGTTGTCGGGTAGGAGTGATGGTCACTAGCGGGAGGTGGTGGTGACTGACCGGAGGACGGTGGCCGGAGTAATTGTTTGTCACTACGGAGATGTCACGGCGGCGACAGTGACATGAGCAATACCTACAGTGACGTAAATAATGGGCAGTGACATTTGGCACTAACACGAGCGGTGGTGACCGAAGTGACATGGTGATGGCGGCAAAGTGACACGTTTGGCGGCGGCACAGTGACACGTTTGGCGGCGGCACAGTGACACATTTGATTTTTTAACGGCGGCACAGTGACACATTTGATTTTTTAACGGCGGCACAGTGACACACTTGGCGGCGGAAGTGACATGAAAACCGTCGTCACTGTGGCGGTGTCACTGTGGCGGTGGCGGTGTAATTGGCGTGAAAAAATTTGACCGTGACGATTCTTAGTTACAAAAATAACGAACACAGTGACATAAAATCTCTGCAGTGACATCATGTTTCCTATACCACATATATGACCTTCTTGATCACTTTTTTGCCCCTTTTTAAAAGTGATCACTTTTTTGATAATTTGTTTAAAATTGGTAATATTCAAGTAAAAACCCCAATAGTAATTATAATAATAATTACAATAACAACAAGAATAATAATATTAATAATAATAATAATAATAATAATAATATTATTATTATTATAATTATTATTATAATAAAAGGGATAAATCATGTCTGAATTTTTCTGATCTGATCTGAATGTTTCTGATCTGATCTGAATGTTTCTGATCTGATCTGAATGTTCCTGATCTGATCTGAATGTTTCTGATCTGATCTAATCTGATCTGATCTGATCTGAATTTTTCTGATCTGATCTGATCTGAATAAAATAAGAATAAGTAATAAGTAATAAGATTAAGACGAACAGAACAGCTTAGAATCTGAATTTTTCTAAGGGGCTTTATGTCATATAACAAGTTCTTCTTCCTCTACAAAACGAAATCTGAAAACACACACTCCATGCTTTCCCGGAAAGCAGCGAGAAAATACCAGTAAGAACCCGACCTACTTCTTTATTATATACACCTATTTATTTACCCACACTCTCTTTTTATTGTTCCCCCGGCGGCAGACCATCCAGGATATCAGCGGCCATTAACAAACTCTTTAAGGTTCTTCTTCTACCCCTTGGCGCGCTCTGTTTTTCCCCATTTTCAGGTGTACGGAGACTGCCATGTCGAGCTTTAGTTGTTTATTTTTTGTTAAATTGAATATGGGTTGTACGAGGAGACAGATTGAGAATGAACTACTATGTATATGTGTGCTGGGGAAAAGTCTCCGGTTGACCCGTTCTCTTCTCCATTTCCATGGAGTTCCTGATTTATTTTTATGGAGTTAACTTCAACTAAAGACCTAAAGTTATGATGTTTCTAAGTTGTGATTATAAATATTAGAAATTGTTTTCTTATTTACGTGTAAATTTTGTTGAAGTATGTCTTTTCTCACTTCAAGAATGAATTTAGTTTATGCAGCATATTTTCTGGATAATTGATACTGTTATATTTTGTTGAACCCTTTATCAGAATATGAAATTTAGGTGGGTTTATTATCCCTTTGTTTTTGGATGCCCAAGTAATTGAACCAATTTCTGCTTTTAGAGTTAGAAAGTTTGACGATCTAAAAGGTTTGTCTTTTATCATTAATGTGATGAGGTAAGGAACAGGTGTCAGCTTATTAGTTGGGACGACTTAGGGAAAAAAAAGTTGTTTAAACACATACGGAAGTTACTTTGACTTTCTGATATATCATGCCTGCCTGTTGTGCGTGTAGGGAGTAAAATTTTACCCAAATCCGGTACTATCTTGCACCGCTCAAAAACTAGTTTATTTACTCAATATGTGATTCAATGACTTTATGCAGAGACTTCAAGTTTTGGGATCCAACAAGAAGAGCTCAATAACATCTGTTCTTTTGCTGAGGATCTCTGTACAAAGACGGGAACTTGCAGCCACTGCGCTTTAGGAGTCTAAATTGTGTGGTACTGTTTTTATGTGAATCTTTTTGTTGTAAGAAGTTAAGAACACATGATAAAGCTTTGCAATGGGATCTGCAAACATGGAGAAGAAATGGGTGTTTCCTCTTGTTATCAGCGGACTCATATGTATCTTCCTTGTTGCCACCTCTTTCAATATGGGTCTGGTTTCTTCACTACACAAAATAAATTCAATTTTCTCTATCTTTCAATCTCGGGTTGTGATGAATCAAACAAGCTCTTATTTTGCTGAAGACAAACTTAGGCAATCTCCACCACCTCCTCCTAGTGGTCCTTCCATCCCGCGTTTTGCTTATCTGATATCTGGTTCAAAAGGTGATCTAGAAAAGTTATGGAGGACATTGCAAGCATTATACCACCCACGGAACTACTATGTTGTCCATCTAGACCTAGAATCCCCAGCTGTGGAGAGGCTAGAGCTGGCCTCCAGAATCCAGAAAGACCATGTTTTTACACAGGTTGGGAATGTTGACATGATTACCAAAGCGAATATGGTTACTTATCGAGGCCCCACAATGGTTGCGAATACTCTTCATGCTTGTGCCATTCTTCTCAAGAAGCACTTGGATTGGGATTGGTTTATCAATCTTAGTGCTTCAGATTATCCCTTGATAACTCAAGATGGTCAGTTCTGCATTTTTGCCAACATTTTATCAAATTATCTTTATATACAGAAACTCATGTTTATTCCTTTCAAGTCTTTTTTCTTAGTGGAGGAGCCTGATTTCTGATTTCCTTTTATTGCCAGACCTTCTTTATACATTCTCTGGTTTAAAGCGAGAGTTAAACTTCATTGAGCATACAAGTCAACTAGGCTGGAAGGAGTATGCTCTCTTACTGTTACTTTATGGTTATTGGGATAATATTACTTTGGTCTTGCTATATTTTTGTGTTCATTCTGTTTCAGGGGTCAGCGGGCAATGCCTTTGATTATAGACCCTGGCCTATATCAGAATACCAAGTCAGACATATTTCCGGCCACACCACGGAGAGATTTACCCACAGCATTTAGACTCTTTACTGGTCAGTTTTGAATGGATAATTTTAAATAGATGTATAAATAATCACAAAGGAAGCATGTTGATCATTCTCTATTATAGTATTATGCATTCTTCAAAGAAAAAATTTCATTTTCGGTACATGACTATGATAGTTTTGCTGCTTTTGGTCCTTTGCAGCCGCTTATCTGGTGAAATTTTACCAGAAATTGTATGGAAATTGACCGGATAAATGGTTTGAGGGACCATAAGTGGCAAAGAAATATAATTGTGGGACCAAAAATGGACAAACAAAAGCTGGGGACCAACAGTGGGAACGGTGTTATAGGCGTGTGATCAAAAGTGGAATATTTTTCCTTAACATTCTATGGACTAAAAACTGAATCTTCTTCATGTCAAAAGTGGTGCACAATAAAGGTTGTCATAATTGCTCGAGTTACAATTTGGTCGAATCTGTTAATTTAAGAGAAATTGCCTAATATAGGAGTAAACATAAACATAATTGAACAAATAGGAGTGGACCTTAAAACTTCCTTCAATAGGAGTAAACATTAATTTTGTACCCTTAATACCCCTAACCTAGTTAATTCTAAAATATGACTTATTTGATCCTAATAAAATATAAAAAAATCTAAAATATTTGAAAAAATATATTGAAATAATAAAAATTTAATTTTTTTTAAAAAAAATTGAAAATAAAAAAAATAGATAAACCACATTAAAAAATATAAAAAAATTATGCAGGCCTTTGCCGCAACCTCGGCCATCACTCAGCAATGTCACCTCCGATCGGCGGAAAAAATGCCATCTTATGTTAAAACTTCCATTTTTCTTTGAAAATGCCATAAAGATGACAGTTTTGCTCTTTGAAAATGCCAAATTTTCTAAAAATCTGCCATCATGATGGCATTTCGGAAAAATGTTGGCATTTTTTTCGGTGGTCGGAGTTGGTGGTGCTGGGAGGATGTTGAGGCGGCGGCAGACGCCTACATATTTTTTTATTTTTTTTTAATTTTATTTTTTTAGTTTTTTATTTAATATTTTTTATTTTAATAATTTTTATTTTTATTAATTTTATTTAATACGAAGTATGTTTTATTTGATACGGAGTATATTTTTGTGTTTTTTCATTTTTTTACAATTTTATTATAAATTAATGTTATTCCTTTTATGTTTTAATTATTAATGAAAGTTGTTGGGACTTGGGTAGGGATATACTTGTCTAAACACTAAAGTTAATCCTATTCAAAACATGGTACTCCTATTTTTGCATTTTGCCTATCTTTTACTCCTATTTGGGGAATTCTCTCTTAATTTAATTCTCAGTTTTTATCACGGAAGCCAGGTAGGTCATCAACCTTGTATGGAGACTATAACGGACGCATTTTGCAGAATAGTTACTCTGTACTTTCAAACATGATCTGTGCCAACCCAGTGATTTGTCCATCAGACACTGATACCTAGTTGTCTCCATGCTATTATTCTTTTATCATATTTTATCATCCCCTCATCTTTTTCTTCTTTTTGTTTTTTATTCTTTTATCCTTATATATATAAACATTATTTTTATCCTTTTTATTTTATCATCTTTAGGTTTATTCATCTCTTTTTATATTATCTTTTTTATAATAGCTTATCTTTTTTATCTTTTTTTCTTTCTTTTCCTTTTGGTGGTGATATCATGTATCGATTCATGTTAGCCAACCCCAATATCTTTTGGGACTAAGGCTTGGATGTTGTTGTTGTTGTATCCTAAATGTAGGGTGAACCATTTTTCTGCAGGTTCAGCTTGGATGGTCCTCTCAAGGGCATTTGTGGAGTACTGCATATGGGGTTGGGATAATCTTCCTAGGACCCTACTTATGTACTACACAAACTTCGTCTCCTCTCCTGAAGGATACTTCCAGACTGTTGTATGTAATGCCCCAGAATTTGTCCCAACTGTTGTCAATAGTGACATGCATTATATATCTTGGGATGTTCCACCAAAGCAGCATCCACACACACTCACTCTGAATGACACAGACAAGATGGTTGAAAGTAATGCTGCCTTTGCACGTAAATTCAAACATAATGACCCTGTATTAGATAAAATTGATGGGGAATTACTTCATAGGCGAAATGGTAGCTTCACCCCAGGTGGTTGGTGTGCTGGTAACCCTCCTTGCTCCAAGGTTGGAAATCCCACTGACCTTAAACCAGGTGCTGGTGCTAAAAGGCTTCAAAGCCTTGTAGGTAAACTAGTTTCATCAGAAAATTTTCATCAACTTCAGTGTAATTAGAATTATATTGTACTATTCTTTCTTGTTGAGTAAAGTGAGACTAGAAAGTATGAAAATAAGGTTGGGTATAGATTTCATGATTTATACACATGACATTTTGAAGAAATTTTGCTGCAGTCTCCCCTCGCCAAACATCCCCCAATTTTTATGTTATTCTCTCTGAGAAACATAGCCTGTTAAAGTAAACATATACGATGTATGTTCTCTTCCACTTAAGTTCTGTTCTTATCTGGAAGTTGTTTCCTAATAATAAGGTTGCTGAAAGGAAGAGCATTTGACTTCATTCATTGTATTATGCTTTTGTTTGCATGATTTTATTGTGTTGATTAACTTTATACAATAAATGACTGGGGGAATTGTAGTTCCTATGCCTCCTTTTCACAATAAATGAGTAACCTTATCTCATTTTGGAATCATTAAAGTTTGCACTCCCCTGCCAGAAAAATTTGTTGGCAGTGTCAAAATGGGATGCAATCTCTTGTTTTGATGTGTTGCAAATTATGGAGTACAATTTTGAACAATCCTCAGGGGTGACATGCCAACTGGTGTGACCCCGCGGGCCCTTTTCCTACCCGGCCAAGGTGTTCGAGACCACCATCCCCTATGGTGTCTAACTAAATAAACATAAACCCCAAAACTCGCATATGCAATGAAATGGCTAAACCTCTTACCAGGTTTTTGTAATGGTAAAGCACTAATATTAGTCATTTAAAAATGAGATGCAATGTCAAATTTGGTTGAAAAAGTGGGGTGCCAAATCCAATTTTGCCTTGGTCATGATGTAAATTTAATGTCACCAACCCCACCCAACTAGTTGAAACTTGGAACTGAGTTGATGATAATGTTAATGATCTGAAGTTTGTTTGTAGTCATGATTTTGTGGCAAGGTCTATAAGTCCTATAAGGTTATGAAAATAAGGTTGAGTGATGCACTACATCATTCGAATTTGAATGCCTTTGAGGCTTTGAGACATGATGTTTATCAAAATCCCCTCCTGTGTTATAATTGTCTTGAGTAATATTAGTCACTTGAGAGAATGAGAGAGCTTATTCTGCATTTCTGCATCATAGATGCTTTCAGGTACTCATGTCTGTGTAAAGTGTAAAAGCTTTGCCCCATTACAGTGGAAAGAGCAAATGAGGTTAAACCAAGCAAAGTGATGAGTGGTTGTATATGTTCACCTTACAACTCTGAACACAAACATGATCATTATAATCGCTACTTGCTAGTTAAATACTCTAATATATCCAGTTATAAAAGATCCAACGAAACTAAAAAAAACGCGTTGGGCTCTCGAAGTCTGAGGACTTAACATCAACACAAAGTCGCAAAGTATGGAGTAGTATGTAGAGGATGTTTTTAATTGAATGTGTTCTTTTTCATATGATCAAGCCTTTTTGTAACGGCCAAATTTGTTACCTTTGATCCAAAAGTTTGTTACATTCTACTTAATGTAACAATTTTCTGTCGTTACATTCGCTCACGTTACCTTTTCTCTATTGTAACGGTATGTAACAATAGTTAGAAGCAATTGTAACACTTTTCCTAGCACACTCAAAGTGTTACCACACCCGTTACCAGAATACAACTGCAACCATTTTTAATTTTCATAAATGTAACACTTTAGAAAATACTCCGTATGTAACAATATCAAGTTTATTTTCTAATGTAACACTTGTAATATATATGTATATAATTATATATATAGCCTTAATGCTTTATAATTTTACACATGAACTAGAATATGCACAAATATTAACTCAATAAATATCTCATTCATTAAATTAAAAATACATTGTACAATGTACACACCATACATCAACGATCAGTCTATCAATTCTAAAGAATTAACTTAGTATTCAAAAACTGTGGCCAGAGAAATACACAGCAATCATCCAGATATAAAGCTCAAATAGTATCCCTAATTAAGTGATCTTAATCACACTGCATGCCAAGAACTCATGAAGATTATCCTCAAGTCTCTATCAAAACCCCAAGTATTAGAAGCATTATATTCCAACAAAGAAATCATGTGTGCATCATTTGGTTCTATTGCATCCTAGTCTTCAAGTGAATCCCAGGCCTGCAAAAAAAATAATTTAAATAATTAAAGCTCATGTTCTGTATTTTTACTCTTACACTTTATTTTTTTCCTTGTTTTTTTTCTTTCCTTTTTACCTATATTTCTGTGTGTGTGTATTTCTGCAATACATGAGCATTTGAGTGGTTATTGATCTTGAAGGGGTGTAAAATAGTGGAGCACATGTGTCCTAATGATCACTCTCCAAAGTATAGGGAACAATTCGGAACATCTGAACATCTAAACAGACAACATATTATGAACTCTAGAATCCTTGAACCTTGCCAGAGATTTACAAACCTATATTTTAATCTATAATACCTGCATACTCATTAGGATCATATAATTAGGCTTTACCTGATAGCGTAGGTTATCTACAGAATTACATACTCGAAAGTCATAAATATCTAATGACATACATAGAAGTATAGCACACACATACTAATAGCAGTACGACTCTATCTACCATATTTCCTATTTGAAGTAAATAGTGTAAAAACATATATTTGTAATCCTAATGAAAGAAAAACCCAACAACAAAAAGAAACCAATAGAAATAGCAAACTGTGACACTTGTAAACAAAACTAGGAAGAGCTAATAAAAGTACTATTGGAAACATATGCATTAGACATTCATAGTATCCAAGGCAGTGCTTAGCCTATATGTCAATGGGAAATTTAGCAATCTTTTTTCTTGTTAAACAGGATTTTGTAGCTAAGCAAATATATAGTTTAGTATTAATTTTGTGTGGTACTGCAAGTTTAATTATTAGGCAGATTAATTTTCAATTTGTATGTTCTTGTGTGAACTTTAAGAGATACATAAGAATGTACCTTATATAATGAATATGTTGCAAGGGAGCGTTGCCCATTTGACCCATCGACTACATGTGATGACTCATCTCTTAAGGTTACACCGTTTTGGAATGACAAGATCAATCCCCAGATTGATGCCATATATGCTGCAACTTTTCATATTTGGGTACCTGGTGGGAAAAATGTAAGAATTACCAAAAATAATTAAGTTATCATATATGAATTCCTTTTGCTTACATATAAACAAGGCAGTACAAATAGCTTATGGTGGAGGTTAGCAAAATATGGTTCCTTCAAGGGTTTAGAGCAAACTATGGCCTTACTGCCTTAGTTTATTTTCCTTGGCAGTATAGACAAAAAGTTAACATCATGAATATAGTTTTCTTTGACTACATATAGGATAGTTACATTTTTCAATCAACTACTTTTCTTTCTTTTTTATGTACACATATTAATGTGTTATACCAATGCAAAATGTTAAGACCCTGTTTACTAACAGAAGCATTTTTTGTTTTTCCAAAAAACTGGAAAACTGAAGTTAGAAAAATTAGAAAACCTGTTTCGTTTTCCAAAACAAAAAAATGAAACGTATCTCGGTTTTTTGTTCTGAAACGGAGAAGCCAGTTATATGTGTTTTCAGAAATCACAAAACACGGTGCTACAGTGCCCGAGTCTTTTCTTCTCCGTTAATTATATCACCGTTATATTATTAGGGTGGCTCATCAACTTCTACAATGCCAATTAGGCAATTATATACGAGTACAATACGTTATGTTAATTATTATAATTATTATAATAATATCCATTTGATTCATTTGGATATTTATATAGTGTACATTATAAATTTATAATTAGGGTGAATTTGACTTTGCATCTCATGTTTGGGTGATATTTGACTTTACACCCTACTCCCTCCGTAACTTAAAAATCTTCTCACTTTCCTTTTTCGTCTGTAACAAAAAAATCTTCTCATTTCTAAATTTTCCTATCATACCCTCAATAATTTTTAAAATAATACACTATTACAACTACTTTTTTTAGATTTATCCTACATTCCACCACATTATTCCACAATTTTCCCATCATACCCTCAATAATTCATATCATCTTTCACTATTCTTAATCTACCTACTTTTGAAATGGGAAGATTTCAAAGTTACGGAGGGAGTATTTTTTAAATCATGAATGTATGCACCCCAATTCACTATAAAATAATTTGATTTTGCACTCGAGTCCTTCACAATTTTTGGGAAATGGGATGCATACATTGATGATTTCCAAAATGGGGTGCAAAGTAAAATATCACCCAAAACATGGGATGCAATCTCCAATTCTCCCTAATAATAAAGTGATGTGAGTTTTCTCGCACTTAAAATAGATCATAGTATAGGGTGTAAGTACGAGTATCGTCTCCACAAAGACTGACAAAAGGGAATTAAGAATTCATTAAATTCAGCGATTAAAAATAAATAAAATAAAAGCGTCGTGCGAGATTGGTTGCTGGAAAATTAAAATGCGAATAGAAATGATTAAACTAAGGGGTTTTTTCTAATGAATGACGAAGGGAATAGATATTAATTCCGGGGTAACCAGATTTCTGGCAGATCAGACTTAATTACATGAAATTAATTTAATTGAGTCTAGCTAATAATTACTAAGTTCTTACTGCTCTCGCGGCGTAGAAGTACAATAATATAGGGGACCAGACTGATCTCTCATGCGACAGGATCCTAAATTATTGCCAAGACTAGCGAGTTTACGGCCCCTTAATCGCTACTAATCTCTTAGCGAACGATTAGGTGTGTGTGAATGTGTCCTAGAACAAATTAGATCTCTCTTAACTTATTCTACAAGCAATTGTAATTCTAGTCGCGATTCTAGGTTACAAAAGATATCATTTAAATTATTCAAACACAAATTAAACGGCATTCATGCAATTAAATCATCAAGAATTTAGCCACACATCATGATCAACCCCTTCATCAACTAGCTTTTAAACACGAAGATGCTGGAGATTCGGGACACCCTGTTTCTTCATTCACATTCTAATATAATAACATGAGAATGGAAGAAACAGAAATTCCAGGGAGAAGCCTGAACAGATGAAGAGCGCTCACTAACCAGCATGTGAGTTGAGCTTATGACGTTTGAGTTTTTCCAATTGTACTTGCGGTTCCATAATGAGCTTCATTCTCTGAAAGCCACCCCACCAGTGGCCACCACCTTAGTGTCCTTAACTTGAGTCAGAGTCGAACTCAACTTGTAACTTTGTAAGGTTTCAAGGCTTCAAGCACATATTGGCAATTGAATCTGACTCGTTTCACGCTCGAGCCTTCAGGCCATGCTCATCTTATTTTGTGAAGTGAATGTGTAAGCTCGTAAGGCTTAGAGAGCTGAGCCAAGTTGAACTCAAAAGCAGCTTATTCGGTTTCATGTAAAAGCTCTAGTTCTGGTTCTTCATGTTGATCATGAAGAAACATATTAACAAATGGAAACTACAACTTTTAAGTTATAAATGTACACACACTAAACTACTAAAGCAACAAATTGGAGAGCAATGTAAAATGCCAGAAGAAGAGATGTACACAAGCAATTCCTGCTTTGCCACCCTTCGGATTCTCGTTAAAAACAAACTCCTTACTGAAAAATATTGAAAACCGAATTGTACAATACTCTTCAATTCAACTTGGAAAAGTATGGCTTCTACAAACAAGAATCTCACCAAGAACTAGATTTTGATTGTTTCAGTTGTAGAAAACATATCATCAATAGAAAGCAATTAAGCTCCTGAAAAAATGCCTGGAACTATGATCTGGCTTCTTCTGCACGCTCCTGAAATATAGATACAGTGCTATTTTCATGATTATCATCAACCAACCCTACACTTTTGTGACCACAAATAATTTCACCAATCTAATTTACAACTGCATCAGTTCCTGCTGGTTTTCAATTGATTGCCGAAGAATCAATTCAGCTCTCCTCTTTTTATCATCTTTATTATCATCATCTTTCCTGAACCATGATGCTCCTCTTCCAGAACTACCATTGTTCCAAAGTCTCACATCCAATGAATCACCTAAAACCTTCTTGCCAGGTTTTAACTCCAAACACAAAGCAGGTAGCCTTTTGTAGGTAACGTGTTTTTTCTCTGTCCCATTTCCCATCTCAGAAATGCTGTCTTTAATGGCCTCGATTGCAGGATAAAAAGTCTGTAGTAAAGAGGTGTGGTGATCGTTGGCAAAGTATTTGGCCGGAAGAGCTATAGAAGATGCATCTTTATCTCCAGCTTGCAATGTCCTAGCAAGGAATGGGTTATCACTCTCGTCATTTAGAGTCAATTTTGAACCCGGAATTTGCTAGGGAAAGAAAAAGGAAACAAATATTAGAAAGGAAGCAAACGCGGAAGGAAATAAATATAGGTTAAAGCGCAACAGTAATATTTAAGATCTTTGTTGATCCTCATTTTATGAATTTATTTTATATCTGCTATCTAAATAAAAACATGTATGTCCATGATTTGCAATAGACCCAAAGTTTCACTGTTTTTTGGCTTGGGAATATGATGAAAATTGGCCCACTAAACTGTCTTAGCTTCTTTGTTATGAAATAATAGTCATTTTTGACGTGATTTTCACCATGTGTCATTTGGAAACAGTCTTGGACAAGGCTACAAACATCCAACCCCCCTTACCCACCCGTATGTGGGAGCCTTTTCGGCACTGGGTAATGATGATGATGATCTAAATATAAACATGACTTCTCCCTAGCAGTTCTCGGGATCCATACATACCCTTAGCTTATGTGAACTCGAAGGCACTGGCAAACCATTGCATACCAACCGCTGCTGCAAATTCAACAAAGACCTCTCTGCCTTCCTGCGTTGCCTGGCTAATTCAATTTTGTCATCTCGGGGATCGGATACCCTCTCGTTCCATGTATCTGTGTGTACATAGGTGTGAGGATCGGGGAATGCGGGCAACCAAGGCGGGATGTGCTTAGACTCCGGATTTTCACCTATTTGATCAAAAGTAGGAATCATCTTTGGGATTTTTATCACTGGAAAACGCGAGACTGGCTGAGCAAAAGGAATCTCTTCAGAAGCCTCAACATACTCAACTATCTCCTTCATAACACCTGAATTCACCCCACAAATGTTTGCTTCTGAAGCACCCATAAGCCCTGTGTGTGGACAGAAATCCTCTAACCCGTGAATCACATCAAATACGTTACACTGGGACCTCCCAGATAAACTGGCATAGGAAGTAGCAGTCTTTCCCAGGTCAGAAATGTACTTGGCTATAACCTCTGAGAAGGAATTCATAGCCGCTTCAGTGGAATTCTCAAACCCAACACTCTCGCATATCTGAGCCACAGCAATTCTTGATATAGCACTCCCAAATTCATGGGAACTCGCCCGATTGTCCAGTGCATTCCCTCCACCTTGTCTACTCTCCACTTTACCTCCATTGCTCATATTCAAATTCCTGAATCATTTAGGTTTCCCACTCAAAATCCACTCAAAAATGTTATGGCCTGTTTACTAACAGAGATATTTTTCGGTTTTCATTTTCTTTTTTCAAGTCTCCAGTTTTCCGTTTTCGTTTTCCAAATCAGAAAACATGTTTAACAGATTTTTTCAATTTTCCATTTAATTTTTACCAGAAAACGTTGGCTGAGTATTTGGGGAAAAAAGCAACAATTACAAACATTTGAAATAACACAAAAATTTAGCATAAAATACAATTTCAGTTACATAAAAAATAGTTCCTCCGTATTACTCTTACTACAATTTTGAATACAATCAAAGCAAAAAGGGTTATTTAATCTATTAAAACGTAGTATTAAAAAAAGTTACATCTGTTCGCAAGGCAGCTTATTGGACACAATAGTAACTATCCATAGCTTCATCATATTCCTAATTCATCTCCTTCTACTCATTTTTTAAAATAATAATTAAAAGAACAGATGTTTAGCTCTGTTTGTTCTACTCGAAATCACATGGGTAAAAAGGATTTATAATCTTCCTACCCCATCTTCATATGCTTCTTCTCCTCAAGCCCACCCATTTTTTATCCAAATCACCAGTAAGTAACTATTAATAAGCTAAAAGTAGTCTGAATAAACCACTTAACTAAATTTATCAAAAAAACGAAGTTGTTTTGTTAAAAAGATTCCTTTGAACCCCCAAACACAAGGCTGTAGGATATAGTTTTCTACAATCCTAACAAGCATTTACGACTCAATCAATCAAGTTTGCAGCATGTACAAAAGCCTAGTAAACAACAACTAATTGAAGTCACAATAAGATAGTTTTGACAGCCCCCGGGGCTCACTATTGTTGGCCGGAAATGAACTAAATGACGTAAAAGTTGAGTTCAATAATCCCAAAAGAAAATCTTGTTAAAAAAACAGGGGCTTGACTTGTTTTTTAAAAACTGCATATGGTAGACTGCTAACAAATCTAATCTACTAGCTGCTAACAAATCCAATCTACTAAGGACAAAAAAAATTGCTTCCGAAACAAGTGTTCTGCATTGCTTAATGTAATTTGCTCTTCAACTGAGTCTTGCAGTAAAAGTTTTCTCTGATTTTAGCAGAAGAAATCATGAAGCTAAAATGAAACCAAAATATGAAGTGATATATCTTATTATTACAACTGATGTACCAAGGAGAACTGAGTTTTGCTAGACAATGAAAGACAAGTATATGCTCATGAAACCAAAGTTTTTTCAGACTAAAGATTATTATTTACTAGATACTACGCAGACAAAAAAAAGAACTCTCACTTAAAACCTTCCCTATTAAAATCTCTACTCATATACATTGAACAAGAATACTCTAAACACTTTTGAAAACTGTCAAACTCATCCACTTAGCCCTGACCTGAATTGATTACCTTCAGAACAACATTTGGATGCAACTAGCATATAGGTAGACACGGAGAACAAAACTTAGGTGCTGGTATTTTCACCATTTGTTGTGCTTACTAATATTCAAAGTTTACCCAAATCAAATTGAATAAGGAGCATTCCAGAACACAGGGGCATACCTATTATAAAACGCAGGGATAATTTTAGAAGTTAGAACATTAACAGAATAACAGATGATAATCAGTGCTATTATCATTCATTCAAAATAGCTGAACATCTATTTACTGAAGCATGTTTTAACAAATTACCCTTAGGTTTTATTTCAAAATTTCTTTAAAGCACTGATGGAGGGCTCACTGAAGCCTTTTTAAAGCTTATGAAATTTCTGAAACAAGGGCTTTATGCAAGGACTTTATCGTTGCTGGAAGCTTTTGAAACAAGGGGTTTATGGAATTTCTCTAACACAAATTAATTTTTGAAATTTAGAGGTTACCTTGAACTCGTTGAGAGAGCAAGAGCCGACTGAAGAGTTGGGAGATTCCGTGATGTCTAGGTGGAGCTCCTAGTGGTGATGGCGGCAAACCAATTTTGAGAACTCTGGGAGGAGCAATGACAGCGAACCGTTGTTTTCTGGGAGGAGGGAGTTCGCGAAGTAAAAACGGTAGAGGAGGGTATGTGAACATTGAAGACTCGGGCACTGTAGCACCGTGTTTTGGGATTTCGAAAAACACATATAACTGGCTTCTCCGTTTCATAACAAAAAACCGAGATACGTTTCATTTTTTTTGTTTTGGAAAACAATGAGGTAAACAGGTTTTCTAATTTTTCTAATTCCAGTTTTCCAGTTTTTTTTCTATACAGGGCCCTAATTTTCTTCCATCAAGCTAAATATGTTATAGGTGTGTGTGTTTTATCAATAAAAAATTAATCACTTTTAGCTGTAATTGGAAGCAAAAAAGTTCTGATTTGAAACTCACCCTCCGATTAATGTACCCATTATACTATTCGGAGACGTGGCAAATTGGATATATAATTTAAGGGAAATTAAAAGTACTCCGTATTGAGTACCGCACAAGAATTATATAACCAAACAAGTTAAAATGAACCAAGGAAAGTGATAAAGTACAACATATAAACAGAACATAGGAGGTACTAAGTGTTTTGCAAGCTAAGCTAAGCTACCAGATACCAGATACTAAAGTGGTAATCTTTTACAAGAAGATTATAATTATAAGCTAAGCTATCAGATACCACGAAACATAATTATTTTATTTTTTAATTTAAGATTTAAGAAGTTACAATTCCTTCAGAAAATACAAGTCAAAATGTTTTTAATAGTTCTCAGTTTTACAAACTAAGCTAAGCTACCAGATACCAAATACTAAAGTGGTCATGTTAGTTAAGATTCTAACTTTCTTCTATAAGATTTGCTCCTAAATTCCTAATAATATTTCTTCAAGTTTTTGAGCTGGCCAACCAGAAACTCATATTTACTATCTCAATCCAACTGAACCACAAACTTGTGGAACTTCAGTTCACAATATGAATCAAATACTTTAAGAGTCATTGATAGAATAACCTTCAAAACGTTCCAATGATCCAAGCATTCCCGGACCCCGGTGAACAAACTTTGAAGTACCTTTACACCTACAAGGTGAAATAAAGTCTCTACCTGAAAAAGGAAAAGTAGTAGTATTCAATCACCAAAAAGAAGGGGAAATAATATAATGTACAATGTCCCTGCTTTAATACATTAAAGGTTACTAAACAACCTATTTAAAACATTCATTTGAAAATTTGGGTGAGGCTTTTTTACAAACAGTGAATAGACATTAAACAGTGAATGGACAGTAGAAATTATTTACCTTCCCAAATTAAAGGTAAATAAAAAAAACCTGGAGAAAAATATATATAAATCGAACTGTGATGATAAAAATAGTTAAATATTCAGTTTGTAAGAGACACAATTTTACCTAGATAGAGTAAGGTGGAACGAAGGTCTTAGTCGAGGTCATGGAATCATGGGCGATGGAGATAGAGCAAAAATGTCATGATCTATTATGCAACATAGGCAGCGTGAAATGCTGACGGAGGAGATGCGAAAACCTATAGAGGAGTGGCGGAGCAGGGAAAACCTGTATCGACGCGACAGAGTAGCGAAAACCATTAAAGGAGTGGCGGAGCAACAATAACCATTTGGCAGAGTTACAAAAGAGACTACAAGTACAATAAACGCAGAATTCATCAACCAAAAAAGCTAGATAACTTACCTCTTAAATGAAAACTGAAAGTTGCCCAAGTAAAAAAAATGTGTCTCGCTAAGAATACCCTGAAACTAATCACTCCTAACATTTTTCTACCAACTATAGAAAGCTAACAACCTTTGAACCATTTTTCAATAAAGAAATGACATTATTGATGAAAAAACAAGGTTTCTTATTGTTTTAGAGTTGAGTTCCATCAGTTGTCCCATTTTATCAGGATCAAAATATAGTTAAAAGTGAGGGTGTAACAGTATTAGAATTATCAATCAAAGAACACATACATTGGAATCAAACAGAATGTAAGATACATTAACGGATTAACCAAAAGAGCTAGATCAACTACTCATGCTCAACTTCTCTATAAACTAATCTCTATTTCAATGAAGTAAATTAATCTTTAAAATTTTCATTTAAAAGAAGTATATCTCTAAAGTCTCAACCATTGAAGTAGTAAAGGAGTAACCAGTACTAAGTGGTATATTAGTCTGTTTTATGATATTTTCAATTAAATATTTCAATTTAGTTATTGATTAATGTCTAAAATTTATAACATGTAACATTATAAAACCTAGGATCCAAGAGTGTGAAGCTAAATTTGCAAAATGTATCTTGACTGGTTAAAGCTAAATACTAATGTGCTTAATAAAATTAGCAAAATTTGGAATGAACGAATACGTGAGACACTGAAGTAAAATGCAACTAGAGCGCAAAGTAAAGTCCTTGGCCTGTATGAAGGTCAATGAACTGATACAGGAAATTTGGAAATTACTGTTTGGGTGAAATGAAATGGTAACCTTTCTATTCTGACAAATGAAACGTAGTTTAGTCTTGCTAAACCCACTAACACTTGGAGAAGTTAATCAAACCAAATATTAGATAGATGGTCACATTGAGATTAATAAATTACAAATTGAAGACATTGCAGCTGTCAGATTAGGAAGAAAGCTCTTTCTTTACCTCAATGTTGGCATATTTCAAGTTAGCCCTGTTTTTAATTTTCTCTTTCCTTTGGATTGGTAAAAATTTCACCATCAAGTAGACTACAAATACTTCTCCCCCATAAGGCAAATGAATACAAATATTATCAAGAATAACTTGAGCATTTTATCAAATAGCTTCTATGCATCATACATGCACATAAGAAATTGACAAATATATAATTCAAGAGTGTTATATTAAATCAAGACCAACCATATAATCAAATATAACCCATTAGCCAGCAGTCCAACACATAGAGAAAGAAAAGTAAATGAGGACAAGGAGGTGGCTGGAGATATACATATAGTCGTCATACATTTCAACAAACAGATTCTATGCATTACTAACAAAAATTAGAAATCTACACTTGTAAACTTCATTATTCATATTTTAGAGAAGAGGAATTGGGGTTTAAGAAGTAAAGAAGATTGGGAAAAGACGAGAACCTGTCTGGCCAGAGCGAGAGAGTCAGATGTGCGCACAGACTGAGAGGAAAGCGATGGAGAAGTACTTCTCCTACAGGTGATACAGGTGAAGATCGTGAATTGAGCTCAGGCAGAAGACGAACTATAGACCTTTTTTAATCATGGACTTAAAAAAAAAGTAAATGGAGTTTATTAACTTTTAATAGATAAGTTTATTGACTCTAAAAAAAGTTCATAGATTTTAAATGCAAATTGTCACTGCTGATCGTCAAAATTTTTACCTAAGTTGTTGCTACCGATATACATGTGAGATGTCCGCTTCCATCACCGGAGTTCCCCGCTATCGTCATCGGACTGACCCGTCACCAACAAAATGGATTTAGTTATGAAAGAGAACTAGGGACAATTAATTATATTAATTAATTAAATTAGGGGTGAATATGTAATATTTATTCCTATTTAAGAAAATCAAACATATAATCATACTTTAAGAATAGTGATATGTTTTAGTCCTACCGTGAGTGATTTCCCATATATAATACGGAGTACGATAAGAAATAAATAAATAAATAAATAAATAAATAAATAAATAAATAAATAAATAAATAAATAAATAAATAAATAAATAAATAAATAAATAAATAAATAAATAAATAAATAAATAAATAAATAAATAAATAAATAAATAAATAAATAAATAAATAAATAAATAAATAAATAAATAAATAAATAAATAAATAAATAAATAAATAAATAAATAAATAAATAAATAAATAAATAAATAAATAAATAAATAAATAAATAAATAAATAAATGTAATTCATATAGCAACACAAAGTTCTACAAAAATAAACAAAGCATAAGAATTCAAATTTATTTTTATTAAAAAAACTCAAAGCTTCAAGAATGCTTGAGAATTTTGGCCATTTTATTAATGATTAAGAACATTAATCATTACACAAGCGTTACACTCATTGCTACATGTGGTACAAGCATAAATGCAATTGAGCTTTTCTACTTAATGATTGTTTTCTTTTAATTTCTATCTTGTAACAACTTGTATATGTAATTATGGTTATATATTTATTAATTTAAAAATATATTTTTATGTGTTAAGCGATTTAATAATGAAAGAAAGTGATAGTTAAAATAATTATTTTCTTAATGGTAACTGACTACGTATCAGAATTGCATTGATGTAGTACTATCGATTCTTATATCGGTTTTTCTAAAAACTTCTAGAATCGAATCGATATGGGATTAATGAATCGAGGGGGTGGGGTGGGGCCGGCAAGTTGAAGAAGAAGAAGAACGGAAGGAGAGAGGTGGGGCGAGCTGGGCTGAAGAAGAAAAAAGAAGAAAGATCAAATGGGAAGGGGTGGCTTGGCTAAAGAAGAGTAGAGTTGGGGGGGGGGGGGGTTGGCTTGACCCGAACGGCCCGCCACTGTGCGGGACCGGCCCGGCCCGGTGAATCGATACCGGTACCGGGCCTAGGCCCGACCCGGGGGGTTAATTGGGGCGGTTCCGGGAATGCATATTTGAGGACCGGCACTCGGCCGATGTGGGCCCGGTCCTGGCCTTATTTATTTATTTTTTTTTGTATTTTTTTTTGTTTGGGCCTATGGTAGGTAGGCTGGGCTGAGTGTTTTTGAGGGGTTTGGGGGGTGGGGTTGGAATATACAAGAAAACCCCAAAAAAATGAACCGGCCCGGCCCGGAACTGGCCCGACCCGACTCGGTACCGTTAGACTCCGAACCGGTCCCGAGCCTTACCCAAAAAATTCCAAGCCCGGCCAGGCCCGTCTTGGAACTGAAGCCGGGTCGGGCCCGGTCCATCCCTACGAGGGAGGGGGGGATGGGACGGGATGAAGAACCGATATAAGAAAAGTCTACAGAAATCTTTGGTGAGGAGAAGAGACAATTGCAGAGAATTTTTGCACTAAAAATGAGTTAAAATTACATGAGAATCCATGATTTTAGAAGTCAATAAGAATATACGGAAATTTGAATACACCTAGACTTTTATAGACTTTTAAAAGTCTGCATTGAATACACATAGACTTTTGTGGACTTTTAATAGTTCACATTAAATACACCTAAACTTTTAAAATCCATGCACTTTTAAAATTTTGCCACTAATTCCTAATACAATACCCCCCAAGTTCATTACCTAGGGATTTAGGTTTTGTTTAATACGGAGCAATAATTTCATTTGGCGCGCGGGGGGTTTCTTTGGGCGGAAAAGCGAGAGTACGACACAAATTAATACTTGGCCCTTATTAATTCTTCCACTTTTGATTAACGAGACTGTTACATTATATTTCACTATATGTAACACTTATTAAAAGAATGTAACATTATATATGTCATAATAAAAGTGTTACATTATGAATACACTTAATGTAACAATTTCTGAGCTAATGTATTAATGTAACAATACATTCAATACTGTTACAATAGACTGCTTTTAGGTAACGGTTTTAATAAGTGATACAATTTTAATGTTACATTAGACTCGAAAATGTAGTAGTGAATGTTCATAATCTTATACTCCGTAATAATTTTTTTTCATAATTTTCATCCACAGAAGGTTTGATAAATAACTCATCAATGAAGTTTTCACCTCGGAGTTCGGTCAAGTGGGGGTTCCATTAGATAGCTTCCTTAAGCCTTATGGTGTTTCTAGCACGTTGACTCGCACATATGTTAGACTCGAATTTGATTTTCTAGCATGTTGATTCGCACATATGTTAGACCCCAAGTGGGTTTTCTAGCATGGGTGATGTGATTTGTTTGAGTTTTAATTGGTATGGTTTGGAAATGTACAAGGGTTGACTGGTCATGCCAATAACCAGATTACACAAACCGAATCGGTATAGTTTGGAAATGTATGAGGGTTGACTGGTCAACCCAATAACCAGATTACACGAATTGTGTACCAATCGTTGTGTTCCTTGCCAGATTTAAAGTGTATAACATTACATATTTGCAGCTATTGTCATGTTTTTTTTGTAGTAGATGAAAACCACACTCAATGTGAATTGGTATAGTTTGGAAATGTATGAGGGTTGACTGGCCAGCCCAATAACCAGAAATTTGTGAGAACTAAACCTCTAACAAAATATGGTGAATGGAGTACCTCATTTGTTTCAGGGTGAGTGACAACAAATCTTGTCCGTGCAAAATTGTTTTTCATCACTTACTTACATCCATCATTCTAAGCACATTAGACGCTAGTCGTGCCCAGTGAGTAGGCAATTAGGCTGACTTTCTTATCGATTAGGCCGATTAGTCGAATGTCCTCTTCAGTTAGGGCCGTCTAGCACCTAGATGTTGATTGTCGATTTTTAGAACAATATTCAGGATGTTTTCTTTTGGACTGAGACATAGAGACGCTCAAGAAGCTGGAGGAGGAGACCACTTTCTATGACAAGAAGTGGCAAGCAAGTTGGCTGCAAGATGAGACTCCCAAGGATCCTTGAAAACAGTTTCTACTGCTTCTTCCTTTTGCATGAACCCCTTATACAGTTGTACTATTTTTTTTAACAGTTGTACTATTACTGCTCATGTTTTTTATTATACAAATTCTCTTCTATATCTGGTAAGACGGGCCTATTATATGGACTTTTTTGGTATTACTTCCTTTAGATTAATCAGTTGATTGTATTACATTGGGTAAGGTATAGCCCCAATGTTCTTTAGTTTATTTGCTTTGACCTAAAGAGGTTTTGGCCTAGTTCCCCTCTTTTTTTTTTGTACTTTTTGAAATTTTTTAATAAAACTCGATAAAAGTTCTCTGACGTTTACCCCACTGATTTTGGTGGTTTGCCTTCCAGGTTTAAAAAAAGGAAAAGTTGTTTTAAAGTGATCTTCAAATTAATTCGATATTCATTAATGATTCATTAAGTATTAGTATGGGTAAACGAATACAAATTCAATTCAAAATGAATATCATTTCATATTCAAATTTGGATTCGCATTCGAAAAAATTAAACAAATACAAATACAAATATCATACTATTCGACTCGATTCAATTCGTTTACAATCCTAGTACTACTCATATGTTCCGTTCCGGTTCTTTTGTGTTACACAAAAGAACCGTAACGGATCATACCACAATAAAGTTCAGGCAAGTCAATAGGGGTATAACGGGTATTATTGGACCCCAAGTCTAGAATCAGCCCGTCTGGAGTTGAACAAAGAACACCAATATACCTAGGAAGACAATATTAGCAGATGAGTCATGCTACAGCACACAAGAGCTTCAGCTGCTTGTGTATACAGCCTGTATACAGGCAACTAGATACAACAAATTTGTACAACAAAAGTGTACAAATAGGGGTGGACTGAACCGGGCCGGTTCGGGCCTCGGGCCTGGGCCCGGCCGGGCCTCGGTTCAGAATATGGAGGCCCGAGCCCGAACCGGGGGTGGCCGGTTCCGGGCCAGACCGGGCCGGTTCCGGGCCGGGCCACCCGCCCTATTTTTTTTTTTTTTTTGGCTTCTTTATTTAATCCCCTACCCCTCTTTCTCAACCCCAAACCACCCCAAACCACCTCAAATGGACCAAAATACCTAATCTAACCCAAAACATAAAAAAAATTCAAAAAAAAATAAAAAAAAAAAATTATTTCCGGCCCGGACCGGGCCCGAACCGGCCGGGCCGGTTCACCATATGGAAGGCCCGGGCCCGGAACCGGGAACCACCGGGCCGGTTCGACCCGAACCGCCGGTGGACCGGGCCACCGGGCCGGTTGCTACAGTGGCCGGGCCGGGCCGCCCGGCCCGAGTCCAGGCCTATGTACAAATGGCTTTTTCCTTAGCACATTGTCGTTGGACAGTATAGAGTTAGGAGTTGCGTTATTTATTACTTCATCATCCTTTCCACCCAATTTTTATAATGTTCGAACAATTCACAGATCAGAGCCCAAGAATAGAGCAAACTCCAACAAATAAAAACAAGAACCACCGAATCAATAATAATTTAATTAATCTATTTCGTAAATTGGTTGTTTCTACTACCAAAAATCCAAAATAATTATAACAAAATGCATGTTTTCTCTTACTACAAAGACGTTGAAATTACATATTACAAGCCAGCACAAATGGGAGATATCACAGAGCAATAAAAGTATTTCTTAATAATGTCTACCACTGGCAAACAAATGTCATCATGAAACTACAGCCTCTATACATTCTCTTCATTCCTTCTTTAATCATGTTTATCTTCAAACCGTGACTCGTTCAACAAGGGAATCGCTTCTCTCGTTAAGTTCTTCGTATGGTGACCTCTCTTTAATCAATGCACCAACACTCTCTGCTTGGCATGAATTTAACGACCAGAAACAAATAAAGAATTTGTTAAGAGTTGCTTCCCTTCTATCTGAGATTTTCTTGCTCTTGCCTTGTCAAGTCGTGCCCGTCTTGCAGCTTCTTGGACGCGGCGATCGTGATCCTTCATTATTTGATCTACTTGGACAGATGGAACTAGAAGTGGCCCGGAGTAGTGCACATTGTTACCTTTTGACCCATAGCCTAGCTGGAGAAATATACAAGTACAAGAATCAGCACTAATGAAATTTAAGAGTCTATTTGGGACTCAGGAAATGCTAGGGACAGAAAATAGAGAGGAAATTATTGAACAATATTAAAACGATAGAAAATGCCTAGAAAAGTAAAATGTTGGTTCAAACTAAACTGGATTACGGTTAGAAAATTATTTCACTTGGTTCCGTGAATATTAGGGAGTTCTAACTTTTGTCCCATGACTATTGGTCATCTGAACTGTTGGTCCCTTCACATTTTTTCACTTTTGGTCCCATGACTAATTCTCTTGTCACTTATTCTTCTGCCACTTACGGTCAATTTCCGTACAATTTTCCTCTAATTTTTGCAGAACATTTGGCCGGAAAAGACCAGAAATGGCAAAAAAAACGTAGTCTAGCACCAGAACTGGAAAACAATGGAGTATATAAACAGAAACTGAGAATGGCCTTATAGTCACACAGCCCACGAGACTAAAAATGCAATTTTTTATGTTTATTATTTGTTCAAATTCATTTGTTTTAATTTGTTTTTATTATTATTATTATTATTATTATTATTATTATTTTAAACCCGGTTTGTAAAAAATACTAAGAATTCTAAATATTATGTAAAAGATACAAACATTAGTAATATTTCATTTTCTTTACACTTTTTGAGTTATAATCAAACATTAAAATATGTTCCCTTGGCATTTTCTTTCCTTTCACTAACATTTTTGAGATCCAAACATATCCTAAAGGCATCATTGCTTGAGAAATTTAATAGCGCGGCTTACTAGGACAGGATCATTGTTGTCAGGCATCCCCGCTTCATGATTTTGGTGCAAGCTTGAAGCCACGCGGGCTTTCTGGTCTTGTTTCATCATTGAATTTGAGGCAGCCTCCTTAAAGGATCCAGGGAACCTGGCAATAAGTTTTGGAGGAAGATCAGCAAAAGACCCAGCACGATCATCAGACAACATGCTCGATCTCCTAGCACCAAGAGAAATCTTTGGGGCATCTTCTTCTGCATTCTTACTAGATTTCGCCCTCTGGGCCAATGGTCCTGAATAGGAAGCTCTTTTATGCTGAGGTTGTCTGAGATGGTGATGAAGATCATTATTTGTTTCTTCAATGGCCTGACGTTGTCTAGGCGGGTCAATGGGAAAACCAGAGGCAACTTCCTCTTGATGAGAGCTGAACATTTCACTTCTGCTTCTAGAAGTGGACTGACTGTGCCTTTTCTGCATTCAGATATGTATATGTACATTGTGATTTTTTACAAAAGAAACTCAGACATACTAAAAAAGAAAAGAAGAATAGGTACTTATCATGGGAAAATGGGCAAATTTGGGGAAATCAGTACAAAAACAACCACGCCTTAATCCTAAACCAGTAGGGTCACTACATAAACCAAAATATACTCTTCCCATCTCATTTGCAACTACAGTACTTAGCTTCAATTAAACTTGACAGAATTCAGGATTGGGTTGGTGTTGCTCAACTAGGTCATAAGATACTTGGATCAAACTACCCTAAAAGAACGAATCCAATCTGTTAGCTAGTTTATCTCAAGGTCTTATTAACCCTGTATTCTTTGTTCAATTTTCTAATGTGTGATTCTAACTCTTTTCTTCTATCACACACCATAAATGTTAATTTCTTCTTTTACACCCTCAAACTATATCATTTTCTGTTCAACCACGCCTCCTCTATAGATCTCTATCTCTCTATAGCATTCAAAGAATTCTTTCTCGTTACTCGAAATATTCCAACTAGTAGTTTTGTGTTGCAGCAAATCTTCATACTCTCATCTCACAGGTATCAAACCCAATCTACTAATTTAATTGAAGAGTACAACTGTTACCTGCATTGACAAAGCTAATTCAGCATTAGCATCAGGTGCAGGAACTGCACGCGAGTCTCTTGTAGCTCTCCTTTCAGTGTCATTCCTATGACCCTTGCTTTGAGCTCCCGCATGCCTATAATTTGCATCACGATCAGAGGCTTATTAGTGAACTAATGGCATTAAACGGGGAGAATTACAACATGTTAAGTGTCCCACATCGGATGTTTACTAGATCTATATCTTATATAAGTCTGCGTTATAAACTTCATTTTTTTAGGATCCTTTTGGGGTTTATTGATTCCCAAAAGGATAACTTGATTGGCACTCGTGGTCTAAGCTAACTTGATTGGGGGCAGTTAGGCCCGTTTTTCAACTCATCAAGTTATGCAGCTTGGTTTTGGATAAGGGGACAGGCCATATTTGATGTTTACAAATATATATCTAATATATAAGTGATAAACCTCTAACTTTTAGGGTGAGTTAGGACTAAATTGAAACAGCGATTAGAAGTAAGAGAAAAAACAAAATTTGAAGTCGCTTAGCATCTTGTGATGTTATTACCGCCTTCTTGCTTCTTCATCCCGTAATTTGGCATCAAGCTCCTTGCTGGGAGGATATTTTGGCAAACTTAAAGGATCACATGGGAGTGGTTTTGTTGTGAAGAACTGCACAAAGAGTAAAGTTGTGAATACAATACAATACAAACAACATCCAAGCCTTATTCCCAAAAGAAAATCTGTTTCAATACAATACAAATATACAATACAAAACAGAAAATTTGTTTCACAATAGAATGCTGAGGGATCACAGAAAACCACGTAGAGTGAGATCCCAAAATATAGAGTTCATGCCAAAATATTGGTGTCCCAATAATATTGAACATTGTTTCTTCATGATGAGTTTAATAGCTAAGGACCTTACCTCGCTCTTCAAAGCAGATGCTGCTGACCCCCGACCAGCAGGGTCTATAGAAAGTAGGGTCTCGATGAGTGCTAATGTGGGCGCAGGGAAATCTTTGAATGTATCTGCAACACAGCGTCTATATGGTTGTTGAGGCTTGAAAATTGTCGCATTAGGCAACCTGGATTTACTCCAGAACTCCTCAGAAGGTGAACCGCAAAGTTTGAAAATTTTATGCAATTGCTCCACCTAAGTATATGGTGTTTATCAAGAGAGAATTAAAGGAAAGAGCTTAGTGAAGATAAACTGAAGCAATATCTGCACAGTTCAATTTTGTATGTTGACAACAACAATAATAACTACGAGGGTCTGGAAGAATGTACTAGAGTGGTTAAAAAACCTTAAACAATGCACAATTTAATAATTTGTAAAATACGGATACATGTGTGAGATATATGAGCAGTGTGCTTTAAATTAACATCATGGGGGAATGGAAGACATTGTCTAACATCACTCTCTGGTTAATAAAGTCACAAACATAAGTAGAGCAGACAGAAACAATTATAATTTGGGTGAGATGTAAATTTGATAAATAAAAAAGATTCCATATGAGATTCTGAACACACTATGCTTAATTCTAAGACTAATGTGCATCAGAAAGTCAAAAATAATGAGGTATACGGTATTTTATTCTTTTTGTGCATCATGAATACACTAAGAGCATCTATATATTCGAGTAGCTAGGGTCATACAGTCATACTAACTAGGATATTGACACTTTAACAATGACAATAAATGATCAGGTATTGTATATTTCTATGCATTGTATGCAAAGAAGTAAAGAGCATGAGACCGGCTAGGTGACCTAGGTCACATTCAAAACCAGGGTTGCAGTGCACACATAATAGGCTCTCCCTCAGGTTGCAGTGCATACATAATAGGCTCAAAAAGGTCTTCTGTCCTTCCAAATAAAGCACTTTTTGTTTTAGCTGCTTGAAGAAATGTTTTGATTATTCATAACCTGATATGTTTGACATGAAATGACCAACTATAGTTCTGTTAACCACATTAGTTCTTTTTCTTATTGAGCTACGGTTGAAAGAGGGGTTAAGAGGAAACTGCAAAATTAAATGCATGAATAACAAAAAACTAGTTAGTAGTTACTAGTTGTACAGACCTAAAGCAAAAAAAAACTATCTTTGCAAGGACAGAAATCATGACTAAACCTAATTATGACTTAGACTTTACATAAAAGCCATATTTGCGGGGCGGGGGGGGGGGGGGGGGGGGGGGAGCTAGGGTTTAACCTTCATAATCATATGTAAGCCATTTAACACCACACCTTCTATCTTTCTGCTCCAGTTTTTATATCTAATTTTCCTTTTCCTTCTGTTTCTTTCTTTGCATGTAATTACGTTTCAGCTCCAGATTTCCACGGCCACATGTGTTGAATACAAGATAGAGATAGTAGAAAGTTGTGAGAGGAAAGCGTGAAGACGAGACTCATAGACCTGATGTGTTACCTATTGCATATTATTTGGTTTTGACGTTTACAAATAACATGCTATTAACAATATCAAAATTTTGTGCAAGAACAACTGGATCTCTTATTCTTTCAAAACTCAAGAAATTGGTTGAAACACTAATATAACTAGCCTTACAGTTAAGACTTTCTTGTAAATCTAGTGTCATATGTTTATATAATTAAGAAAGCTCGAGATCTGCATAAAAATCTTTTTAGAAAGTAATACTTTGGCTTCAATCATCCAAAAAGTTTTTCAAACCAAACCGAAAATTAGACATCACGTTATTTAGTCTGGACAGCGCACCAAACGGTTCATATATAGAATGTTTACTGATCCGTTCTTGGTCTTTGTTATTTTTGGTTTGAGCTTGCTGAATAATAACTGTTACACTTTTAATACTAATATGTACACGTATAAGGTTCAGGTGACCAAATTTGAATTTAATGATTGCTGCAAATTGGATCTTCTGTAATGACAGTACTATTTTGAATGATTAACCGCAGGGTAAACAATCAACTGAATGGTTCAAACCCTGGACTGTGCAATGATCAAAATTCAAATAGATGGCCAGTTTGTCTGGAAGATATTTGCAAAAGTTCGTAAACCTTAGTGGTCCGGATTTGTTGATATATACAAATCGATTTATAAATATTCCTTAACATTTTTGAGGATTTTTTAAACCCACTTAGACCCTTTGCACTCTTTCATTTATTCAGTTGTATCGAGCAAGATGTTTTTAGCAAGCAAAGCACTAAGCCTTCATTTTCATATCTAGGTTTCAACAACTATTTGTGCATTACTTTCAAGCCATGCTTAATAAACCAATGTACTCATTCATCTCTAGTTGAATCTTATATTTTTATATTGAGTATATTTCTTATTTATTCTTCACATCTGGTCTTTAGAGTGATTGGAGTAATTTGGAGTACTCAAAAAGTACTTCTGCACTTTCACCCAAACAGTCCAATATCTGTTTTTGCTTCTTGAATGAGCATGAGCAGTTTTAAGAAGTAGATTCAAACACCCCCTTAATTGAGCCCCACTCTTAAAATGCACACCACTTTTCTGACACGTTGATAACTCAAAAAAAATTGTATGGGTAAGAATAATTCGTAGAGCAACTGGATTTTTAAGAGCAAACAATGCCTAGGTACAAGATTAATAGATTTAGGGTTGGCTTAATGTTACTCAGCTAAGCTTATAAGGCTCTCTGGCTAAACCACACTAAAAGATTGAATCCAATCTTTCAACTAGTTCAACCCAAGGTCTTACAAGGTCTTCTTACAAGGATTTTTTGTGTAATAAAATTTGCTACACAAGATAAAGAAAATGTGCCATAAGGGGGAAAAAGCCAGTACAAAAAAGCCAGTACAGGGGAGTTTACATTTTAAAGATGTGTCCATTTCCCCATGTGCTCAATCATGTTGGACAATGCAAATCATGTGTGAGAATCAAGCCTAATACTCCTTTCATTTTCAATGAATAAGTATGCTTAAAGAGTAAATATAGTAGGGGTAGTGAAAAATGAAAAACATATGAGTAGAAGAAAAGGTAGGAATGAGTAGATGAAGGTAAAAAAACATAGGATAGAGAAGTAGAAAAGGTGAGAAAGAGAAGATTAAAAAAAATCGAAAATGGAAATGGTGTATAAAAAACTTTTCAAAAAGTAATCCAGAGAAAAATGGACAAGTGGAAGGAGTATATGCTTGAAAGTTATATTGAAGACATCAGGTCCATATATGATGATGGTGATGGAGTTGATTGGGTATAGAGTACACATAATTGTATATTAAACTTGTAAAAAATATGAGGACTCATCAATCACCATACCTCTGTTCTTCCTGGCATGATAGGCTTTCCGGCATAAAGTTCAGCAAGTATGCAACCAGAACTCCATAAATCCACAGCAGTGCCATAGTATGCAGCACCAAGTAGAAGCTCAGGTGGTCGATACCAGAGGGTCACAACACGGCTAGTAAGGGGATGGTTCTGACGAGGATCAAAGAAGCTTGCCAGACCAAAGTCTGCAATCTTCAATATGCCATTATTGTCGATTAATAGGTTGGAACCTTTTATATCACGATGCAGAACACCACGACTATGACAATGATCAAGACCAGATAAAAGTTGCTGCATGTAACACTTGACCTGGAAAATAATTACAAAAGAAAATTTTAAAGCTCATTAAGTAGCCACTAATAGAACTTTTAAGCTATATTAACAGGTCCTCCAAATGAATCATTCTTGCGTCCCAAGAGAGCAAATTGACTGCTCAATTGCTTCAAACTTATTATAATTTTACAGCAGTTATAGTGAGGAAATGAACATTTTTATAAATAAAGGGCAATGTCAAAACACAAACTATATGTAAAATGATCGTTGAGTGAGTTACAACCATTCAACTGATAACACTATCCCCTTTTGCAAATTAGCAAATACTACCTCAGTTTTTTATTAGTTGCACCAATTTGACTTTTGCGTTATTCACATACTCTGCTTTAGCCATTTTTTATTTATTAATGTATTAAAAATCATATTATATAAAGAAAATCACATATTAATATATTAGATAATACTCCCTCCGTCCCATTTTGTAAGATATTTTTCCTATTCACTTGGTCAACACAAATAACTCTTAATCTCTTACTTTATATGTCAATTTTTTTTCAAAGTTGATTCTGATTTTTGTGACTTTGTAAAACTTTTAATGCAGTTTCTGAATATGTAATTCTTTTTTTCTAAAAATATTTTGAGTGCGGACAGGGATCCGTTTGCTTTATCGTTGGTCAAACATCGTAAATCGTAAAGTGCCTTACAATTCGGGACGGAGGGAGTACTAATTATCCCTGATAAACCAATAATAATATATACTACCATCTCCGTCCCTTTTTATTTAGCTAACTTTGACTTTTCCAATCAAAGATGATAAACTATGATCTATTATTTTAACTAATATATTTATGTAAAAGTTAATAAATTTATACTTTTATGATAATATTTTCAACAAAGAACATTTTCATATTATCGTGTATAAATATATAATTGGTCAAAGTTGAACAACTTTGACTTGAAAAAATAGTGTTTGGCTATATAAAAAAGGGACGAAGGGAGTATATAAATAACTAGTCCATACTCCATACCCCAACCATTCAAATACATAATGAACAAATGATACAAAGTCATTTTTGACATCCAATCTGGTCATTTAATTTATCAAAATATGATACTTGACTATCAAGTAAGCTTTATTTGATGGTTTCATACAAGCTATTGATGATTTGAAAACCCAAATTTGAGATCGGGAAGTGACTCTATATCGTTTTGTGTGTGTGTGTATTTGAATACTTGGGATATGGAATAGTTATCTCTATAGTATGCATTGTTATTGGTTGATCAGTGGTAGTTGATGCAGGGAATTATTTAAAGTTATTTTCTCTATGTAGATATTGTTGAATTGCTATCAAATTAAAATTTCAAAATATCATTTTTTAAATTTTCACCGGTAGATAATAAGTATATTAATGGTCAAAGTCATGCATTGGCAACTGTGAAAACAAAGAGTTGCAATTAAATATAAGTGAAGGCAGTATGTGAATTTTTGTAAGCAATAAATACAAGATTTATACACAGCCATTGTAGAAAAGGCTGAATACCTGTGATTCGTTAAACTTAATACCAGGATTTGAGGCAAGTCCTGCCAAGTCATGCTCCATGTACTCGAATACAAGGTATAAACTGCAAGACATGCGAGATGTAACTAGACCTTCCAACTTTATTATATTGGGATGATCAAGCCTCCGAAGGATGTGAATTTCCCTTGCCATGAAGCGTACACTCTCAGGTTCCAGGTTATCAAACCGAACCTTCTTCAGAGCAACAATTTTTCCTTGTTCAAGATCATTAGCACGGTAAACACTGCTGTAAGTGCCCTGGCCAATCTACAAAAAGGGAAAACAGTGGCTCAAAGACAACTTTAGCCTAATTCAAATATCATGTAATTTAAATATTACAAGATACTTCTATCCCTTTTTTTATCTTCATTCTTTCATTTTCGCCCATCACTAAATTATCTCTTTTTTCTTTTGAGAAAAGGATTATATGGTTGATATTGTTTCTCTCCTCTAAACAGATTCAACCACACACTTTTCACTCTTTCAAAACTGTGCCAAGCCACAAGAGGAGAATATAAAAGGAAAGAGGGGTAGCAGAATTCATGCTTGTTAGTTTTCATTGACAAACCAATCAAAAAAATTGTGTAAGGTGCATACTTGAATGCCAGGTTACTTGCACCAAACTTAAAGGGCAGGTGTGGAAAAAAATTCAGGAGAGAGTTTTGAACTGCATTTGAATAGCATCCTTTTATTACTTTAACGTTTTTTGGTAGCATCAAACACTAAAACATGGTGGACATGGTTATCAAATATCTTGATGGAAAGATCGGCACACACTAATATCATGAGCTCACAGAATTTTCTGAATTGAAGCACCAGACAGTTTTCATCTAAATTCAATAGGAGGGGAGATACTATTGGATAAGTACTATACATGTTTTATATGTCACATAAATTCTCAAATACATTCCCATGCCAAGGTCTTTAAAAAATTCCTAGCAACTAGTTTGGAAATAGATCAGCAATTTCATTTTGCACCCTTTGGTTTGATCAAGGGAAGAAACTGAGGCCATCTTGTTGCTTTTATTTAATAAGAACTACTGGTTATTGCTATATTTGTTAGGAAACAAGCACAGCATTATGCCATTATGCAACCAGTTTAATGAATCTTCAACAGTGTTCCCAGGAACTATATTTATACATTCTAAGTGGTAACTCGTTGTCATACTTCATGTAGGGTTTACTCCATTTCCCCCCTTTAGATATAGTAGAGTTTCCACTTTAGTTCTCAACTTTGTCTGATTTCTCTTTTAGTCCTAAACTTTAGAAAAGGTTCATTTTTAGCCCAAAATATCTCAAATGCAACGGGAAGAAAATTTACATAACAAGGTAGACACTTTTCACTAGAACCAAGAAGCTGCAATTCTTAGCTTCTTGATTTTTCTGTTTTGATAGTGTTTTGATCTCAATACTCCCAAAATGCTCGGGCAAACACTGAATTTCGAAGGTTTGAGTTAAGGTAGCATTTTGGTATTGAAAACACTCTCAAATAGCTTAGCCAAAGACCCCTAAACGTTCGAAACAGACTGTCCTTCAAAAGATTATACTTTCATGAGTAGGTTGGTTCTTCTACACAAGCTATGCATGTGCTATATCAGTATTTCAACCACAAACTGCATTACACCATTACCTGATGGACAAAATCGTTTCATTCACTAAGTGTAAGTTTGGGGCGTACAATTTATGACTCTTTACAGAGTAAATTGGTTCATCAAATATTAAATTTATCAAGGGGAACTTTCAATTTACGCTAGACCAAGTGTAGCAGCTTATGTATCCTATGTTATGATACCGACATACTCACTTAAAAGTAAAACGATACTTCCTATTTCTTTTGCAGAAGCTAGTCTTTGCTTTGAGATGTTCTGATTATTTCATTTATTGAAATGGAAACTCGGTGACAAGAAAGAAGCGTACTTTATCCATTTTTTCAAATGAATCTGCTCGTCTAGGTATCCATCCTCCAATAGCTTCACCAGCAACTGCAGCTAGCCAGGGTGGCCATCCAGCTGCAACCTGCTCACCTTCAGCAGCTTTTGGAATGTTCCCCATTCCAGGATGGTATGTGGCTATGTGCTCAGTCTTCTCCACTTTGCTATCTAAAGCTTGACTTTGCAACCGGGCAGAAGAATTGACTATCTTGTCAATCGGCAATGTCTCTACAGCATTGCTTTCAGGAAAATCTTTCACCCTATAGGTTTCTTCTCTTCTCAAAGAAACCAACCTTCGGGCCCGTTCAGTAGAGGATTTGCAGGATAACCTCTCCCTGCTGCCCTCAATGGCAGAGGGCTTCCCACACACACAACCCATTCTATACCAGAAATTAGCACAATCCCAACATAAAAATCAAATCTTTTCTCCAAGAATCCACTGAGATGTTAACCGCCTTCTCCACTGCTACTAAGAGACAAGCAATCTTCACCCAAGATTGAAGTCAGCGGAACTATACACCTTTAACGGCATTCATGCAAGAAAATGGACATCTTAATTCTTAACTCAGTTCAGCAGCCAAGAAACATGGCATTCGTTCACCGCGTTCACTTATATAACTCCAGCAACGTATGAACACAAAAGTTGATGAATTGCAAGATAAACTTAACGGGTTACCTAGAACTAGAGTTCAGAATGAGAGGACATATAGTTATAGAGTGCGGGGAGGAAAAAGCATACTGGATCTAGGGCACCGGATGAATTGAATTACCAGTACTTCTCTTGCAAAGAAATGAGTGGGAGATTAATTGGGATAACAATAGTTTTATTAACTCTCGTGTTTTGTATGGAGTGTGAGGTGAAAGTAAGAAATGAGAGGCAACGGGGGAGGCGGGGGAGGCCAAAGTGTTCCGTTCTGACATTGTTTCTTCTGGAGAGAGTTGATTGACACGCGCATAAAGGAGAAGTATGATCGCACGCTATATGGGCAGGTTAATGAAATGGTGAATTAATAATTAGATCAATGTAATAGGTCAATGTGATTTGGGAGAAAATTAGGTCAATGTAAGTTCAATACTCTCCTTTCGGGAATTTTTAAAAAATATGATTAGTAGTTACTACAGTGTAATTTTATGGTAATTTAAATTCAAAAATTGAACATAAGTTACTATGATTTCATTACTACTCTAATTACTAGTCATATTTTTATAGAGTAATTTTTTAGTCATATGTCTGTAATTATTTCTTTTTTTCTGAAAAAAGATCAATACTCCCTAAAAATTGTTACCTACCTCTCATGTTTTATTTTAGTTGAACATAATTATTATTAGTGATTAAAAAGTAATGATTGAGTTTTGAGTAGAATAAAAAGCGAAATGATACAAACATATATTCTTTGCAAAAAAAAATGAAACAAGATGTTATCTTGGGACAATCCAAAAAGAAAAGTAAGATAATCAAAATAAAATATATGACAAATAGAGTAGTTGAAATTTGAATTCACACTTTGACTTAGTCCACATTGAGAAAGTAGAAGACGATCCATATATGATTTGTGTTTAGACCATTTGTAGTGAAAGGTTTTAGGAGTCCAAAAGGTTAAATGTGGAACTTTTGGACTCCTATATGCTTGCATTGGATGATTGGAGTAGTAAAATGAGGTTTAAAATGGAGAGGGGAGTGGAAGAGTTCAAATATAGAGGAGTTTTAGACGGCCCAAAAGCAAAAAGAAAAGACGGAAAAAAGGCCTGCGTGTGGCTGTTGTTACTCGGGTGACGTCATATTGACGTCATCATCCCTGTGTAATAAAACCACTCTTTTATTAAAAAAGACTATAACTTTTTTGTTTGTGGTCAGATTCTTTTTCTATTTGATTATGAAAATATATTTATTGAATTGGAAATTTTGTTTTTGATTTTTCAATAATGTTTTGTAAAGACGGTGAAGTTACTGGTCAGATCATTTTCTATTAATGTTTATCTTGATGTTTACCATCTATTTAGTTTTTGTTATTATTACAAAATATTTATAGTTAAATAAAATGAGTTCTATTTCAAAGCGTGCAACTGCCTATGAGTCAAGCTCATGACTTGAGTCAGCAGGCCCAAGCCCAAGCATGGGGACTGCCTGTCAGGCTGTCAGCCTAGCCGGGAGACTGCTAGCTCGGTCGACCTGTCAGCTAGGAAGAGCAACAGTTATGCAATTAATGCGTTGGGGTGTTTGGAAAATGACTCAATCGCACAATCAACAAATTTCATTTTTAATAAAAATTCAATGGGGTGTTTGGAAAATGGCGTTTCAGCCAAAATGACGATTTGATCACTTTTAAAGTTTTCCATAAATGAAAACGTTGTTAGGTAAATAGATGTTTGGCGTAGCGTTTTTGGACGGAACTGCTAAAATGAAAACATTGCAAATAGAAGAGTTTTGAGTTAGTGTTTTGAAAATGACGTTTTCTACTAATATATGGTCAAACAACTAATTTACCAAACATCTTGTGACAGTCCGCCAACTTATTCCGCTAGTCAAACCTGCCCACTGAATCCGCGATTGACAACCCGGTAACATAATCCGCTATCCGTTAACCGCTAACCGCTAAATGCCAAACGCGCCAAATATCTTGAAGACATGAACAGTCATTTGGCGTGAGTGCTTGACTCTAATTGAGTCAAAAGTTTTGCTAGGTGTACACATTTTGTGTACACAAAATGTGTACACCAAGCATTTTGCATTGAGTTAATAGACTCAATACGTTGTAGGTCACATATGTCATAACGTGAATACCTTTTTTGAAGTAGAAAATGTTTTTTTTGAATGATTTTTAAGTAGAAAATGTTAGAATAACATGAAAAGAGTATTTTTATTTTAACGAATGAATCGAAAGGTGAAATAGAAATTTTGAATGAGTTTTGTTTTGTTGTTCTTGAGAGTTGAGGGTATAAATAACAAACGTACTAACTGTAGTTTCGTTGCCTTTGTTTTACTTCTAAAATGAATCGCTCCCTAAAGTAAGTTTCCAAAAACGTCACAAAATAACAAATGTATTACTCCATATATAATAAAGTGAGAAAGTTCGTGGCATTCTAATTTTTATGTCATTAGATAGATGTCGTTTGAGTTTGACTACAAACATTGTATAAAGTATGATCACAAATTCACAATAATTTGTACGCTATAAAACTTGATCAAACTGACTAGCACGTGGAATAAGAAAATAAAAAATGTGGGGTTGATATGTATGCTGAGATAAAAATAACTTTAAACACGTATTTATTATCTTAAATAGAAATGCTAAAATTTTGGGACATAAGTAAAAAAAAGTCAACCCGAGTTAAAAAAAGAGTAAAAAAAGTCAACAAAGTTTTGCAGGACATACGGAGGAGTAATTATTATTGATAATCAACTACTCTCTTCGCCCCGAAAAAACTTTCAACTTTTCTTTTTAATCTGTCTCGATAAAACTTTCATTTTCCCTTTTTGGTAAAGATTTAATTTGTGATTCATGTCATTTCTTACACATATTTTTCTCCTCTCCGCAACTCTCCACAACACAATATCCATTATCTTAATTTGTGTGCTGTTTCTACTATGGAAGAACAAATAGGGACGAAGGGAGTACAAGATAGAAAAAGTGTGCATTCATTTAATTCTATTGTATCTAAAATAAGTGAACATATGAATGTACTAAATGTAATTTAACGATTATAAAATTAAATTAGACATTATTTGTACGACAATAAACAATCATCTTTATAATAATACATTTTTAAAAATTTATAAAACAGGCGAATGCTACAATACTCCAGTTATAACTGAGTGTATCGTATCTAGAAGGGATAAGATTAGTTCATAACATTATTTACTATTTATTCATGTTTAAATAACCTACTTATTTACTATTTCTAATTGGCTCATTATGATAAGGTACAGTGTGATAGCGCCTTAGAAGTACCATATAATTTGTCTTATGAAACGAAAATATTGTAAAATCTATTTTCTTGTAATATTGTTGTGCAATTTTTTCATAGTGTAATTATTAAGAATATTTTTTTTAAATAAAAAATGATATAACCACCATACATTGATACTTGCATAAATGGAGATGATTGAAAAATATATAGGTTCTCGTCTTCTTAAGTAATAATTTGATCAGGTTGTTCAAGGAAAATAGTGTAGTTAACACACACAGAGAAAAATTGGCTAAAGAAAAAGTTACCCGGGGGAGAGAAGAGAGAGGAGCGGCGAAGGGAAACCGTAGTCGCCACCTCCTCTTTTCTTCCTTTCTTCTCTTCTTTTGACTTCAATCACGGAAAAAGCTTCGTTTAATCAGTATTTTCAGTTCTATCTATACGTTTATTTCCAGCGTTGTCTAGAGATTATTTTCGGTGGCGAAGTATCGCTCGCCAGATCTATATTCCCCGCCATCATCAGTCGGGTGTTCTTGTGTGCTAGTAAGAGGTTTGTATTGACTTCTTTATCAATCATGAATGAGGATTTCTTCTGCATCGATATAGAGGCCGATCGCCCCCCTCCTGAACCACCGCCGATTCAGGAAGATGACATTGGATGGATTGATTTCTTTCCGGTGGCTGGTCAAACCAGAACAATTTCTGCACTTGGCTCCTTACCGGTGGCTGGAAAAACCGGCAAGTTTAATAATTCCTTTCCGGTGGCTGATCAAGCTGAACCCATTTTGAGTAGCATGAGCAGTCACACTGCGGTACGAGTCTACATTGTTGCAAGGTTGGCGAACATGAGTGCTTTTATATGGCGTCTTTGTTCTTTGTCTCACCCTATTGTAGTATTGAACGCTATGATTGTAATGCTTCGACTTTTAGTTATTATGTCTCTTGTTAAGATCTGATTATCAATAAAATGGTTGTTTGATTTAAAAAAAAAAACACAGAGGGAGGGAGAGGGAGAGAGAGAGAGGAGACAGGGGGCTCACCAATTAATTAATGACATAATACTAACTAAATTGTTATCAATATTGAAGATAGAGTGGGGGGCTCAAGATTTAATTTTTTTTTAACGAAACTGGTTTAACTTATCATTACCAAACCAAAACAGGTTACAAAGTGACAACAAGTCTCCTGTCTACCGTCCGCCCAAGGGCCAGACTTTGAATTAATCACCTCCGAAGAAGCCATATAATTCGCTAATCCCGCTTTGGGCTTACCCGAGCCTATGATTTGCAGACCCGACTCCTCATCCTCTGTCTTAGTTTCACGAGTTTTTTTGCTGGAAAAACACAGCACAACCAAAATAACAAAGCATCCAAAATGTGGGAAATAAACAAAGCAAAACAAAAAAGAGTAAATAAGTTTCTCAGCTAGTAAGGCCGTAGCCAGCATCAGATCATCTGGCGGGGTTGGAGTCCATCGCCCGCCCCAACCCCGTTTTTTGGGGAGTCCATGTGCGTCTTCTCTTCAGCTCTCTTGGAGTCCTGGCCCCCTTCCTCTTGTGCCTCATCTGAACTCATAGCATTCCCCATTCCAACTTGAGTGCTCTCTCCTGTCTCATCCGGGTCCATGTCCTGCACTGATCCCACCATACGTGTTATGCTCTTGCCACCACCTGAGGAGCTCCCTTTCGAAATCAACCATTTGCTACCCATGTTAGGCTTCGATTTCCGTCCACTCGCTCTTAGCCACGACTCAAAAGGCCTAGTCAACACTTGCCCCTCTAAAAAACTAATTGTAGGAGTGAATTAGAGCACCAGAAGTACTTCTGCACTTTCACCCAAACATTCTAACTTCTGCTTCTGCTCCTAAAGGAGAATCAGATCAAAACACCCCTAAATATGAAATTTGGGGTCAATATTTTTCCTAGTCGGTCCCCACAGTCTCAAACAACAAATTTGAAGCTCCTTTTGCTTTTTATTTTTACCATTTCAGCTTGTAGCCTTGTAGGTCGGAGTGAGTGAAAATAGATGACTACTATCCATTTACTACTCATTTACTACTCAGCTTTG